ATCTAGTTTAATACTGGGAAACAACAGCTAAATGTGCATTGTATGTGATGCAATTCTTCAAACTTAGTAAATGGATAACTTATTTAATTACTTTTCTCAATTGCTTTTTCTCAGAATAAAACAGCCCCCTAAACTTTATATGTGAATAGACTGTTGTAACTTTTACAGGGAAGAGTGACATAAGGCTTTTTAAATGGATGTGTGGGTGAAACATACTTTGGATTTAACATGCATCTGTGAAGTATATGAACCTTACAAGAACAAGTATATTAACAGTAGGAATTCCAGTCGTAGTCCAGTCACAAAACACTAGAATCCATTGACATTTTATCTCCTCGCCTGCCAGTTTTCTCTTGTTCTTTCCTTGGTGTTCCACAACTTATCTTTATAACTGCTTTTTATGTACCAGAAAACATGTAGTTCTGTTTTCAGTCTGACTTTCTAAGCACCTCAAACAACTAAATAGCTACCATTTCAGAGGCATTTGAAATTCATGATGCTATATGGGCACCAAGAGCCTGAGAAATTGTGACCAAGGAAGAAATCTCAGACGGAGAGAAGCAATATTTGTCCACCATAAAGGCTCCGCAGCAGCAGCTGGGGATTCATTAATCGGTTTCCTCTAGGAGATAGCAGCAAGTTGTTGCACTCAAGCTGTTATTCGAACCAGCTTGTACGCCTTTCCTCCCCCAGGTCAAGCACCATTTTTCCTCATTGCTTTCCGATGGGATGTCTTTTATCATCTTCCATTGTTGGGGAAAATGTCTTTCTCAATTCTCCCCCTGCCGCAGCTCTGGAATCCAACATAAAAAAGCCAATCTTGTTTTCAATTTTGTCTTTGTCACTCTTCGTTGCTCATGTTTTGAGGTAGTAGAAGAATGTGAAAAAAGCCTTTGGAAACTGCTAGTGTTGGTAGGTCTTCTCAGGTGTGTGTATATAATGAAGCATTACAGTGGTTATTAGCATCAGTTACAATTATTGTGGCATATGAAAGAGTGTTATACTTACATGCCGAAGGACGAGCTATTATACTGCTTCATACATCAACTACTCTAAGGTTCCCTGTTTACAACCTACGTCTGATTATCACTGATGGTTTATCAAGTGGAATCAGAATTTTTCTAATCCACCTCTCTAAAAGTACTCTGCGTTATTGTGAAAACTAGAAATTCAGAAATTTATCTGCTTTTAATATAACGGGTGATATTTGATCATGTATATGGGGTTTTGTAAGATGAACTGACTGGAAATTTAAGAGAGAGAAATAGGGCATGGATTTTAGAGACTGTGCCAAAGAAAAAGCTAACACAAATCCTGTCTTTAGAATTCATTGCTATTGATAAAAACAAACAGCAACATTGGATTTACACCTCAAGAGAGCTTGTTGAAATCTGACTGTCTGATTTATACCACAGTCTCACAATTTAGTTAAGCCGGAACATTTGGTATGTTAGCAAATAAGTATATTTCTCTACCACTTTTTGCTCCTCAAATAGCGCCCTACATTAATTTTATTATGCTTATCATATTTTAACAATAAAACAACTGTTCAACTAGCAAAGAATCAGCAATATAGAGCCAGTAGAAACAATATCATCGGTAAAGAGACAATATTTATTTTCATAAGAAGAAGAATCTTAAGTCTACCAACCCTTGAAATGAAAAGAGGAAAGCTAGTAAACCCATCTCAGGAGGAAGGGGATTCCACAGCTTGGGTTGCACATGTTCACTAGCAGAAAAAGTGGGTTGCAGAGCAGAGTCCTCTGCAGAGATCTTAGCAGGTAGGCAGGATAATTGGGAAGCAAGTGGTCCATCAGGAGACCCAAGCCACCTGCAGCATTAGAAGTCAAAGCCAGCACTTCAAATTGGGTTGTGAAACTACTTAGGAGCCAATGAAGCAGGAAAGCAGAGATACAACAGGCTCCAAACAAGTGGCTTCTGCTGGCAGCAGTGTCCTCTACCAGTTGTTTTCCAGACTCTTAAAGGTAGTCCCATGTGCAACATCTTGCCACAGGTTGACCCAGAAGAGGTGATCAAAACATATATGACAGTGGCAGAAGTCTGCCTCCTCCAGAAAGGGCTGCAGTGCTGCATCCATCCAAGGCGTGCTGAAGTACTCGTGGCTACTACTGCCATTTAGGCATCAATGAGCAAAGATAGGCCCATGAAGACCCCCAAACTCTGCCTCTGATTTTTCAGAGGTGTGTTACCCTATGCAAATCCAAAGGAACAATCTTCTTTAGAACAAGTATTCTAAAGCACCTATATTTTGTTTTAAATAAGTCTCAGCCTGAGAATCCATACTGAGCCCATTTCACAGCCTCCAAACAGTGGTAAAAGATTTCTACTGTCTCCTTGGAGTGTGATGGGAAAGATAGATTAGGTTGTTACCTAAATGGTTCTGAAGACACCATTAACATCTATGGATGACTCATATAGATTAGGGTGAGGAAATTGTTATGCTCAAGGGTCAGATTACTACCTGAGAAATCAAGTCAGTGCCATTTGGGAGTAAACAATGTGGCCAGAATCCAAAATGGGCATGTCTATGTCACTTTCCCACATGCCATGCCATGCACACATGTACATCTTTCATGCAGATGCACACGCGTAGCTTTCCCAGTACTTCTTCCCCAGGTAATTCATGCAGCTCAGATGAAGAGAGGGCATATTTAACTCAGGCATTTTTGCCAAACTATCCCACCCACTGCCCCACAATGGAATTAAAAAATACTCAGCAGATCCACTGAGGAACAAAGGGGGCTTAACCCTTACTCCCATCATGGAGTGCTAGGACAGAGGTTTAAACTGCACCTAGCATGCTACAGCTGGGTAAAGATATTTTCAGGTCAGATGCTAATGTGAGATAAGCTATCTCTCCCCAACTGGGGAGAGGAATGTGCTTGGGAAGCAGCTGGATGGCAAGCTGGGAAACGCCCATGAGCTGGAGGTTCACCATGCCTGACTTAGATAAATGGTCTTCAACTGGTAGATTAGAACAGGTCCACTACTGGGATGCAGGCTGATTTGAAGGTAAGTAAAATGAGCAGCACTATCACCATACAAATATATGATAGAAAATTAAGGATTAGGAACCAAGATCTTTGTCTGAGCTAAGGTGAGCTTAAAGGCCTGGTCTGCAAAATCTGAAAACTACTGATGTAGGTATGAGACACGGAGAGAGGTTCTTGAGAGAACCCCAAGGAGTCAAACAACAATCACCCTGCAGAAACATCTGGAACCTACCCAAAGCCAAAACATGGTCAACAAAGAAACATGACACAGCAGAAGCCATAAGGAACCACTCTTCTTGCCCAGTCCTATGTGTAGATTCTCAGTCAAGGCCAGTGTGATATATGGTTGGAGTGTGAGAGTAGGACTTGCGAAATCTGTGCTTTGGTCCCCACTTGGCCAGGAATTTCGCTGGATGACTTTGGATCAGGCACTGACTCTCAGCCTAACTTGCCTCACAGGGCTGTTTTGAGGATAAAATGGAATGGATGTCATGTTGGGTTCCTTGGGGAAAAGGCAGTACAGAAAAAGCTACCAATTGCTCAAAAACCTTGCCTTAAAGAGCAGACTGAAATTTAGCTGATGACTATCAGCTAAGAGGATCCAATGAGGAGGAATTCTGAGAGGGTTACCCAAACCATAACCAATTATTGCTTCCTTCAGTATTGGAGGTATCTATTCTTTCTGTCACTTCTAAAGGAGAGAATGAATACTTTGGGTGATGGAAAGGGAGGTTTTCAAGGCATATTCTAAGGAGAACATTTCCAGTGAAAGCAAGGGAGAGATGGAGTGGGAATTTGGGCCCAGAAGTCCTGATCAGAAATATGGGAGAAAAAATGCATTGGGAGATTTAAGTGAAAGATTGTGGGAAGATAAATTGAAAGGAGAGAAGTGTTTATTATTATTTGGGAACCATTATGCTAACATTGTGATTATAGAATTGTTCTTATTAGGAACAGAGAGTACCATATTTCTATTTCTTATTTTGTTTTGGTTTAAAAGCAGCCAAGTTCTTCCAGGAAATACGGCAAAATGAATATAATAGAAACAAATGGATTAGAAAGATTGCCTAGACAAAACTGAGAGGTAAGAAAGACACTGGAGGTGGGGGAAAATTAAAGGGGCTGAAGATGAGATGAAGCTTAAATTTTCAGTAGGACTGCAAAAGGAAAGACCCTGAGAGAAAACTGGGCAGTTCTGGGAACAACTTTATTTACAAGAATGAAGGGAAAATTAGGGAATTTTGTCGCAGAAAAAGTATGGAGGGGATGGAAGAGGAAATCTGCATGGCTGAAAGAGGACTTTGGAGGAGAAAGTTTAACTGTAGAGGAGGATTTGCGGACTTGGGCAGAGAATTTATAGTCAAGGAAGAATTTGGGAGCGCTACAGTTAGGGAAAGGCTTGAAGAGAGTAAACGGGAAATTCGAAGGAGACTCTTGAGTTTCTGGAGAAAAGGCGTTGTGGTAGTTCGTCATTTTGCAATTTCTGGTATGCAAGTTTTGCCCTTTCATTGGGAAGAAGCGAGATCAGCCGTTTCCTCCTCCCAGCCCAGTCTATTCTGACTTGGTGACGGCTCTCCAGGATCTCACGCAGGGGTCTCTCACGTCACCTGCTACCTGAATGTCTGTCACGAGGGATGCCATAGCCTGAACCGTGAACCTGCTGCAAAGCACAAGCGCGACTGCCATTTCCCCTCACAAGACCTCCTTGCTGGGATTTAGCTCCACCCACACCTGCCGGGCTCGACTCCTCCACGCGCCCTCCAGGCTCAGGGCGGGGTCCACCCTTCTCCCGTTCTCGTCGCCACCTGCCCTTCGCTCCAATCAGGAGACCCGGACTGTAAACACCATACCAAGGCAGGGCGAAGCTAGGCGGGGTGGAGAAGAGGAGACCACGCCCCCTCACGAGCGACGCGGCCAATGGGAGCCTCGGGGGTGTGGCCTGTGTCCATGGGGACCAGGGCTGGGCTCAGGCAAGGTCTCTGTTCACCCCCATTGTTCGCCGGGGCGAGTCACTCAGAGCGGGGCGGAGTGGAGTCGAGTGAGAGGCAAGCAGGGCGGTGGCGACAGGGCCGGCAGGTGGGTCAAGGGGGGAGGGAGCCAAGCGTGGGGACCCTGGAGGGAGGGGAGGAGCGCCCCAAGAGGGCTTCGGAGGGGCCGCATCGGGGTGAGGGCAAGGGGAGCTCTTTTCGCTGGGGCAGTGGGGTTTTCGAAAGACAGTCCGAGAGGCAGCGGGGAATGCTTAAGGAGGGGGGCATCGCCATTGAAGGAGGCTCTGGGGACTGCTGCACAGCAGTTAAGTAATAGCTAAGACCCCCTGGCCCTAGTTATCGGGTGGTGTATAGGAAAGGTTTGGGGAATGAGCAGAGCCCTAACTTACGTACTCTTTTCCCCTCACAACATGAATAGGGGCGGTTGTCCTAAATTCTTCGGTTATCCTAGGGTGGGAGCAAGAGATTCTGTTTCGGGTTACTAAAGGATCTAGACAAGATCCGTCACGAGTGCTGCGAGAGCCTTGGAGATGGGATAGAGAAACTGGAGGGATGGGCAAAGAGGTTCGGGAGGGGTCATATGGCAGGGGAGGGGGCAGGTAAAACTGCAGTCATTCCGTGGGGTACCTTCTGGGAGTGTGAGAGAGATTGTGTGTGAGGGGGGTTGCAGTGGCCCTGCTCGATTAGAAGGTGAGTAGCTTGGTGGGGTGGGGCTGCCCGAGATACCCTTCTTTTGGGGCTGGTACTTTCCCGGTTTATTGGACTGATGGACTTAACTCTCTGGATCCAATCTGGATATGAAGGGAGGGCAGGGTGGAATGGCAAAATTAAGCGGTTGTTGCAGTAAGGTGCGCTCTGAGGGGCTAAATAATAAAGATCTCCCAGGCGAGCGAGTAAGGAGCAGAGAGTGGCAAACGAGCCGTAGTGGGGAAGCAGGCAAACACCAGGAATTTAGAAGTCTGCAGGGGGATGTGCGGTGGGAGATCTTGGGATCGAGGGTGGGGTTAGGGGGTCACTGAAAAAGAGTTTTGGAGGTGGAGAGGGAGTTTTCCAAAGAAGCTCTCTGTTGTGCCCGGGGGTGTGGTGTATGATTAGAAGCTTGAGGTAGTGGTATATACTGCAGGAATTATTGAAGGAAGATGTTAATTTTTTATTTAAGTTCGTATTGCACCTTTTCACCAAAAATGGTACAAGTTGAGAAGGGAAAATCGACAGATTGACATTTAGGATGGAAAATTAATTGGGAAGGGATGGAAGTAGATACAGGATTGGAAAAGGATGCACAGACAGGATGGGGGGGAGGCTGGCATTGGAGGGGGGCTTTTGCATCATAAATTCAAGAAGATCCCTTGGTTTGTTGTGTGACATTGGGGGATCAAAACCTTGAAAGCAGGGATCCTGGTTTACCAGTGGTAAGGAAAGACGGTATTTGTGGCATGTACATGAATCTGAGGGAAGAGCTGTATCTGTTTATTTGGTTCAGGATGTGCAAAACTCTGCTTGTATTAAATTGTGAATCTCTAATGTCTCGCACTGAGTTGAAAGGTAGCACTAAAATGGCTCAAACTCTTTTTTTGTGAGAGTTGAATAATACCTCCACCCTGGTGTTGGTAGAAGGAAGGATTGTATATGAACACTGCCTTTGTCTACCAGGAAAGTGTAGGGTGTTTAAAGTCTCTAGTGTGACTTACGATATTCCTTTGTGCATGGGGGCAGTGAAGGAGACTCCTAGTCCTCATCATATTTATGACTTATAAAGAGTGTTTGTGAAATGTGGCTCTTGTGTTCCCCTTATGAGCTATTGTGTATTAGAATTTCATAATCCAACTTGTTTCTCCCAGACACGCCCTTTGATCCATGTTGTCCCAGAAGCAAATTGCTCCTCATCGTTCAGCCATTTTAAGAGTCTATTAAAGAAACAAACAACTTCACACAGCACTACTTGTAAACAGTATAAAATGAAAGGAATTCACATGATGGTCAGTTGATTTCAGGAACATTTGGGAAGCTGATTGTTTTGTTTAATTTGCAGAAACATTTGTTGAAACTAAGGGGAAGGCCTGTGGTTTTATGTCTTATATTTTGTCTTGGTACAAACTAAGTAATAAAAAACAAATTATGTATCAGGAACATAATTATGCAGGAACTTCCCTATTTAGAAGGTATGTTTAAAGACTTCCCCTCTGATATTCACCAGGTATCAGATATGCAATACAAAACCTTTGCCAGGCGCTGCCCTGTAAGCACTCTGTTAATTGACTTGTCATGATTCCTAGGAACAAATTTGTTGCCAAAAATACATTGAAGGGTCCGTTAAAGTCTCTATAAATGTGTTCTAATCAGAACAGTCAATCACAGTGCATGAAATATTTCTGTATGAATATGAATGAATAGCTAGAATGGTGAGTGCGCTTTACAAATTACCTGTATTCTCCTGGCCCCAGACAAAGCTGAAGCTACCTCTCATGAGCACTTGGGAAGCCTGTTGTCGAATGGAAGAAATGAAGCTAAAAAAAGTTCTTTGTGTTAGGAGCTGTGTAAATCTGTGCTGTCAGTTTTAATAGGCAAGTGAAGTCAGAAGAGAGATTCTGACTGAATTAATCATTGCAACTTGATTTTCATTGATTGCCAAATTATGCAAAAAAAATCTCAGCAAGATAAGCAAACTTGAAATGTTCTCTTTATTTTGGAGTGCTTGGCTAGTAATGTGTGTGTGTTGGTGGTGTTTAATCACTCTTTCTAGAAAGTTTGCAAAGAGAAATCTCTGTAGCTACAGAACTGCTGTATAGTCTTTCATGAACCTGACCCTTCCTAAGCTAACCCATTTTTGGAGTGCTGATTTAATTAGTTAAGTTTCTGTACCTAAGGAATGGTTGATCACTGTATGTTTGGCTTTGCAGATAAATTTATTGCCAGTGCTGTTGTTTAAAGCGTAAGTGTCTCAACATGTTTGTTTTCTGAGACAGCTCTGTCATTACTTTTTAAAAGATGTAGAATACTGGGCATTTTGTTGCTTTGTCTATGTGCTGTATGAGTCATATGGGAACCTTGGTGTGTTTTTCAAGAAGTATGCAAGGAAGGGAAACTGGAAACCAAGAAGCAACTGACTGTTTCTGTTTCTTGTATGTGTCATGTCTTGTCTTGTCTTGTCTCCTTCATTTTCTCCAGCTCAAACCATTTATCTTACTGAGTTATTGGACTATATAGATCTGTGAGGAAGCAGGAAAGACACTGATTGGAAGAAAGGAAGTGAAGACTTGAAGCCAAGATTTCATTTTGGTGGTTCTGTAGTAGAACTGCTATATGACCTTGGGATGAGTAGTTTCACTTAAAATATATGCTGGGCAGGTTACATACTTGTAAATGTGCAGGGACAAGGAGTTGTTTACTTAAAAGTTCTCATGTTCCCTACCAGAAAAATGAAATGTGAATTAAAAAAAATCTAGCCAGCAGCTTTGTACATGTTTTCTTTTGGTGCATGCAAATATTAGTTTTGTAGGCCATCTCAGAATCCATATTTGGGTTAGACTGAGATCTGTGGAATAGAGGGAGCTGAAGTGCAAGTTATACTTGGATTGGACTTTGTGGTCAAGCATGACTGAAAATGTGCAAATGGGCCAGATACAAAGTGACAGCATTCATGGTATGGAGGCAGGAGGAATTAAGTTGGTAGCTGAGTGGAAGTTGGGGACAAGGAAGTTATGCAAAGTATGGAAAAGCTGCCACATGAATGCTAACTTTCTGAGGAAACACAAGGATCTGAAACTGATACAATCCTCTGAGTAGGAGCTTGACTTGAGGAGCTTGGAGATGAGGGTTAATATCTCACTTACTGCCATGAAGTTGTCTTATAGGTGTGAACAAGGTGTGCATTCTCATATCTCTAATGAGAAAATGGGTGTGGTCTACATTTTTTCTGTTTGTCCTCATTTAGCACTATAGGTCATCCGTAAAATGAGGAAGAACAGGGAAGTGTGTGGAATCACAAATCATTTTCATAGCCTGATTTTATACACGCGCACATTTGGCTGAAATGCTCCATCGTTTTAAGAAAATGTGCCTGTAGCATGCCTTCTCCACAAGCATAAGAGCTAGACATGCATGAAAGAAAAGGTGCAAGTCTCAGGGATCCATATTTGACTGCTTGCTGTATGCAGTGAGATATTGTTATGGCTGCAAGTCTCCACTGAATATGTATGCATAATGGCTTCCTGGCATATCTGAGCTAGAGGAGCTTGTAAATGTGGTTCTTGGATTCTGATTAGGATCTGAATGCATGCAGTCATAAGCCAACTAAAGCCTTGATCTAGGACTCTGAGTATGCACACATCTTGAGTTTGTTGTTTTAAGACCTTCCTGATAATTTGTCCCAGTATTGGGAAGATTTGATTCTCCTTTACGACACTCTGAATTTCTTGGAAATTGAAAGTTTTTAGCTTGAAACGCTGTTGCATTTGAGTTGGGGATTCCTTTCTTTGCTCCTGGCTTTTAATCCTGGCAGAGGGTGAGGGAAGGGTGTTCTAATTGCATTAGCCAAATGATTCGCTTAATTAATCGGGCTTGCAGCACAGATGAAAGGATAAGGCTGGGGAGTTGCCTGAGAAAGGAGAAGCTGTCTCTAATGGTGCCTGGAAAAAGAGAGGGAGAGAGAAAGAGAGAGAGATCCAATCTGAATGGAAGATCATGCATAATAAAAGGCATGCAGACATGTATGTGCAAGCACCATAACGTACCTTCCTCAGAAAGCCAAGCTGACCTTAAATTTTACTCTGAAACAGGCCCATCCAGTATGAAAGAGTCTTTGGTAGCCTTTAAGTTTGCCATAGAAAACTGTAATACCCTTACCGCCATTATTCAAAAACTTTAGAGTGGAGTCACAAGTTTATGGATGCCCTGTCCCTTGCTTCCCCACTTAAGGTTTTGGGAGGTATCTTATGGTTGGCTTGAACACTTCCTACCAGAGCAATGCTAGCATCGTTGTCACTTCTCATTTTCCTTCTTCCATTTTAATGTATCTCAGGAGCCTGTCCCTCAGCTGTTGACAGATAACATCCTCAATGGTTGTCATTTTCTTGCTAGTTTCATACT